TGAAATCTTGCCAAGTGTAGGAACAGGACTGTTCCCTGCCAGTGCTGGTAGTGAGCAGAGCATTTCATATGCTCAGCTGGTTTTCTTAAGAGAAGTGCACCAGATCTGGCTCAGTGCGCTTCTTTGGGGCAAGCTGATAACGTGCGTCAGCTGTGGGCTTGTCCGACAAAAGGAAGGAAACTTAAATGTCCTCGTTCTAATACTGAAGAGTATTCAGCTCCATGTCCTTAGCGCTCTGTAGCTTCCACCGTCATGTGATGGCGCTGGAAAGACAAAGCATCAAGTCTCTAAACATCTAGTTGTGCCAGATCGCTGGCTGAGGAGCTGCCACTAGTGTCGAAATCGGTGGGAGGTACTTGGGGATTGGGCATTTGTATGGCTCGGTCCTGCGTGTCTGGAGGGGAGGAGGAATCCTGTTTGCTTTTATAAGCATCAAGTTCAAACTTGTCCCGAGCCTAGTTACCTGCCAGTGCTTGTTTGGACATGCTGAAACTTGCCTGACTCACCATGATGTCATTCCCTGAAGCTGTTCACAAGGGCGTGAGCTGCCGGGAGATATGAAGTTTCAGTTCTATTTTTAATCTGAACTTCTCCGGTTGGGGCTGAAAGGCAGGAACAGGATAGGTTGGATCAATATGCTATTGGCAATCGGACCACTAATGGTCAAGGGTGAAGATGTGCAAGCTGGATGTGGCCTTTGGATGTGGGCCTGTGTAAACTCCCAGGGTACTTGGGACTGAATAATGTGGGAAACTTGTGGCTCTTTTGTGACGGGGGGGTGTATGGGTTGCAGAGCTGACCACAGACCTCTTTGCTTGGATATTTGACTTGAGCTGTTTCTGGTCATGGACACATGTACTTGGTACGTGTTCTTTAGCATGTCTGATTCCCATGGTAAGTAATGGGGATAACCCAGGGGTGGGCAAAATGTGGCCCAGGGGCCAGATGCAGCCCACCAGGCCATTCTATGCAGCCCAAAGGACCCCTAAAAATTTTAGAAAATTAATATTTATCTGCCCTGGGCTGCCTGTCATACGGCCCTTGATGGCTTGCCGAAACTCAGTAAGCATCCCTCTGCCTAAAATAATTGCCTGCCCCTGGTATAACCAGATACTTGGCACACCTTTCCACCAAGCCTATGACAATCATCTCACGGTCTTGCTGTGCCAGATGCTGTATGTACAGATAATTCCTGCCCTCTGGTAAAGGACTCTCCTTGAGCACCTACAGGCTGCAAAGGGAGGCCATTAACCCCATGCATGCCCATGGGAAGGGAAAGGGGAAAATGTATACCCCTGTAGCAGAGCTGCTGCCTTGAACTCCCCTCAAGTCCAGGTCCTGTTTCTGGACTCTAAGGCTGGTTCCTCATTGCCACTATCTGCATACGGAGGTTTTGTCAGTAATTACCCAACAGCTTGTTACAGATAAATAGGTTGATTAACAACATGGAAAAGCTTGCAGCTTGTCCCCTGCAGCTTGCTTCAAAGCTTCCTTGCCATTGAGGTCTGGTTCTTGAGTTTAAGAAATGCTGCTAAAGTTTCCTGTTGCCTCATCTGCTCACAAAAGTCTTGTATGAATTTTCAGATTTGATTCTGGATTTTTATGATCTCAATTTTGAGGGAGGCCAGAAGCTTTGTGGTGTGTTCAATCACTGCTCAGTCAGTCCACAGGACTTAATTCCCAGGCCCCTTCCACTGGCTGGGATGGGGGCAACTCCATCCCTCCTGTTAGGATAAGGCAGGGATGGCTGATGAGAATGGCCCATGCCACGATTCTGGCAAATAACTTGGTGTTGGTCTAACTGACTACACTTGTCCGAAAACGGGGTTTGCATCCAAGACCTTTAGCACTCTCTCAGGTGAGCACCAGGAGTACCTCTTGCTTCTGGGAGACTTGGCCTTCATGTGGACCAGGCACTATCCTTCTATGGATTATATTTGCAGGTAGCCAAGTATGGGGAGCTCGAGGCAGCCCCTTGGAACAAGGAGCCAGTAACTGAGGTCCATCTGCATGATGTTGCTTTCCACTGTCTGTAACAGCACCCCTTCTTTTTCCTTCAGCTGGGAACATGCCTCTGTCACAGAGCAACCTCCGGCAGACCCCCTGCAGCAGGAAAAGCTGCAGAAACCTCTTTGGCCCAGTGGATCATGAGCAGCTCCAGAGCGACTTTCAGGACTCGATGAGGAAAAACCTGGAAGAAGCCCAGTTCAAGTGGAATTTTGACTTTGAAACTGAAACGCCGCTGGAAGGTGCCTTCAAGTGGGAGAGGGTCCCGTTTCCAGACATGTCTTCCGAGTACCTCTGCAGCCACTCCAAAGTCTCTGGAGAGAACAGTAGAAGCACTTCCACCCTCAAGATTCCCACAAAAGATCTCCTTAATCGGCCCTTCTCGGGTGAAACCATACAACAGGTCTCTGAGGCCAATCGGGCCAGCTCTCCAAGGCGCCTGAAACGCAGACAGACCACCATTAAAGGTAAGGCCGTGATGCTTGTGATTTTATTTAAAAAAAAAAAAAAAAAAAGAGAGAGTACCCCAGTGAGTATCCTGCAAGGGGTGGGTCAATGGCCACAGTCGGAGTTATTTATTTCGCACTTTCTGAGTTGCAGGAGCTGGAGCAAGGTTCATGACCACTTTGGAGTCTTCCCCAGGCAGGGCAGCAGCTCTGGATCAACTTGCCTGCCCTGTGGGAAAGAGCAGCCAGTGGGGGCTGCTGAAGGAAATAGGCTTAGCTCCCTTCCCTCCCATGAGGCAGCCCCATCCTTGCATGAGAACCCAGGAATGCAGGAGGGCCCTGCTCCCTTTAGTTTCATGTAAGCAGTGGGATGACTCTTCCCTCCCTGCAGTACCTGAGAAAGGGAAGAGGGTTAGAAACCCCTGGAGCAGTCCCTTCTTCAAGGTGGGAGTGGGGACATGGGAAGACGAGATGCTCCTACTGCTTTCCCTCTTGGTGAGGTTGGGGAAGAGAACAGGACAGCCCTAATGTGGCACAAAGGACTAATACTGGGGTGAACTTCTGCAGCAGGGGTCAAAGTGACCTCGATCCAAAAGTCGCACACCACCTGTCATGTAGGTGTGCAGGGAGATGGCCAGTCTTGCCTGGCCAAAACCATGGCTCTTAGATTCTGAGGTCAGCCCCTTGAGAAGAGGTCACATTTCCCCTCAATTTCCTATTGCTGCAGCACAGGATACTCCAACTAAGAGCCAGACCTTGCTCCCAGTGCTGCATTCTTGCCCAATGAAGCTGTACCTACCCTGGACATCCTGCTCTATATGGTTGAGATGTTCCTGATGACTTGAAGCAGGACTCCTGCTCACCCTTGCTGTACTTCCAATTCAGACAGCTGCTCCTAATGTTTCTCTAGGTGACTTATTTGATGAGACCGAGATTTGAAACTGCATCAAATGAGAATTAATACAATAGTCTCCACTTTTTTTTTCTCCCCCGTAGATTTCTACAGTGCAAAGCGGAAGATCTCATCCAGCAAGCCAAATCCCTGATCTCAGAATAAACGCTACTGTCTGTGCCTTTGTCTTGGGCACCATCACTGAGATCTGTTTTCCCCAACTAACCTTTAATGGAGCTATGTTGCCCTCTGAAATGCCTCCTGTGAAAGAACATGGAGGAGTTGCCTTTTGGGTAGGACAGAATCTGTGGGGACTTTCCTGAAGCTGCCCATGGGCCTTGGCTACCATCCCCTCTCTGTACTGTATAAGCTTCTTCCTTGATCTGTGTGTTTAAGTGGTATAGTGTTTATAGTGCCCTATTTATGATTTAGTCCTGGGTACCTAGTGACCCACCCATGTGCAATGTGTATTGTAAAGCATTATTTAAACTAGACTTGGATTATGCTTGGGTAAGTTCTTGGGACTGTGGAAGAGAGGGGATGACAGAGGCTGAAAAGTAGGCCCCGGAGGCTGGTGTGATGGTAATAAGGAGTGCAGCAAAGGGTACAAGAGACAGACAAAAGTACTCCCACCTAGAATGTGGGTCTCAAACTCCTGGAACCATCCATCTTCCCTCTCCTCCTGGCCACTTCCTTGAGCCCAGGATGCAAAAAGAAGGTGGAGAGGGATCTTCATCTTTAGGTAGCTGTACCTCACTTAAAAGGAGCAATGGGGTGTCCAGCATTCAGGTTCTAGCTCATGGGATCAACTCTGGAGCCATTTATTTGTGTCTCCTCACTAAGCCTCACCGCTACTGAGCAGCTTCACATGCATTGAATTTGCACTGGAAGGAGAGAGCCATGCACGCACTGTCTCTGCCTTGGTGGCAATGTATCAGTCCAGTGGAGGTTACCACTCTTCCTTTTTTTTCCTTCTAAAAGAATAGTCTGTTGAGGAGGAAGGAGATGCCATGGGCTATGTAGCAAGCACCCCTGCTGCACTGACTTACAAATCTGAATCAGTTTGGGGTGGAGCCTCATGGGGAAGAGTCTCCTAGCATCTACCCTGTAACTCAGGTCGGGTACTGTTCCTCTTTCAGGCTACTTCCACGCAGAACTGAACTTACCAAGAGAATTATCATGTAGCTCTAAAGTGTGTCTTGTTTCTGTATTAGTGGCAAGTGTTTTGTGAGTTGTGCAGGAAGCCTGGACAGGGGTGGAGGAGTCCACTTGGCAGGCAGCACCAGGAATGCTGGTCCATCTTGCATTTAATAGGCTAATGTACTGCTCTGGTCTTTCCACACTTGTATGAGATCAGAATGTGCCCTGAAGGTTGCTTTTCATAATCTCCCCCCCATGCTAATGCTACATCTAACTGGCTTCTAGCACAGGCTGACCCAGAACATGCTCGATAGAGGATATAGTTTCCCAGTAGCTAGGCTGGACTTCCATAATAGAAGCAGAGCAACTCCTCCTGTGGGAGGCAGGGTGATGTTGTGGCTTGCTGTACCACAACCACTTGGCTTCTGCTGGTCTAACTAGAACTGGAAAAAAAAATCCAGTTTATGCTACTGGATCTCTTCAGGTGTTGGGCAGGACCATCTGTGCGTGAAGGAGGAGCATATGCTCTTGTTAGAGATTGGTCTGAAGCCTTATCAGAAATCCTGAGACACGTTATCTCATCCTACTGATCTTGGACTGCTGAACATAGGCAGAACAAGCCTCTGCCATGGATGGACTCAGTCTTGTCCCCTTCTCATCTTAATGCACTTTGGTGTCAGAGAAATGCTGGCAAACTCTTAGCACTAATAGGATCTTATTTACAAATAAACTGGAGAATCAACTAGAAAAGATAGTTTAAAATATAACTTATGAATAAAAACATCTTTGAAAAAAACTGAAACTGTTGCATGTCTTCTGTTGAACATAAACTTCCACACCTTTATTAGTGGAAGTAATGCATCTTTATTTCTGGATTTCCACGTGCCACATGCCCTTAACACCTGGGTTTCTTGCTCTGCTATACATTCTGTTGCTACTTTACCCTATACATCATTAACCCAATCCCCAAATGGGATAGGTACTGCCCTTACAGGGGAGGGTTGCAAAGAAAATGTGTTTAGAGATGGGATTCTTATTGGAAGCTGTGTTGTGCCACCCTCCGAGTATGCTGCAGCCATGTCACTTGCACCCCGCTTCCTCCTCCCACTCAGTCTTCAATGGCTGACTTGATTGCACACAGCTGGAGGCTGCAAGATGACACTTAGACACAGGCAATTTTTGCCATATCTGGCCACAGAAAGTGGTCTATAGCCGTGACCAAACACAAGTGTATGGTTGCAGGCTGCTTCAAAAATGGCCGATCAGAAATCTTCCCCCCCGCCGCCTCATTGTATGAGTATTTCAAAACCGAGCTTCTTCTATAACTTGTGTCTGCGCGGCCTGCCAGCCTTTCACAGTTTTGAGAACGGAGCGGGGAAAAGGAAACAGAGGGAGTTCAGTCTGGGTTGTTTTCAGCTGGTGCTGGAGGGTGGGACAGGTGTACTGGAGCCCCCCTGAGGTGGGGAACCCTTAGAAGAGCTCCCTCTGCTCCCTTTCCCCCTCCAATTCTGAACACAGCACAGGCTGGGTGGGGGGGCATTGCTAGGGGAAGCAGCCCGCAGCCTGGCAGCTAGATTCCCCTCCCCCTGGAACCAGGAGTGAGTTTCTGTTTGGTCTGGGGGGGATGTTGTAATTCCCACAAAGGGTTTTCAGTTACAGTGGGGAGCTGCACTTCTGTCTGCATGCTTATTTCTCTGGAGCAAAACCCTCTGACCACTTGTGTCCTTTCACACAAATGGATCTGCCTTTGCAGCCCTTACATTAGTGTAAATCAGCATAGGTTGGGGCAGCATGGACCAACCTCTTTGACAAGTGCGCTACATGATGGCCTTGCCCCTTCCTTGGTTGCCACTCTCTTCCCATTTGTCTAGTCTTCTGCTCTGCTTTCTGCTACCTGATTCCCTATACCACACACTGTGCCACTGGGGGGGTTGCTTGGCCACCCTTGCATTAGGGCACAGACAGGACAACCACTTAAAACAGTTTAATCTGGAACTGGGCTGACCTACAAGCCTGTTTAAATGGCTAAAGCTAACAGGAATGGTTCAGAAGTACACCTGGAAAATCAAGTAATATATTTGTTTAACTGGCTCACTTGTTAGGTGTGGATGCCCCATGCTCTAGGACACTGCCTCCAGGCATGTCCATCCCATACTGCATTGCTCCTTTTGGGCGCCCCACTCCCCTTGACACTCCACAGCAATTGTCTGCTGTGGTACCCAGCTCTGGTACCCCAATCCCTCTGTTTCTCTTGCTTGTTCACTAACAACCAGCTGTGTCCTCACTCCCTACTGCACTCCAGTCCCTCATGCCTTCCCCAGCTCCAAGGAACCCAACAGCCTGGATCTAAGCATTCTTCCCCTTTCCCCCCAGATCAGTGAAGCACACGCAAGCTTCAGTCATTTGTAGGCTATCCAAGTTTATTGAACTCACATTTAGGAGAGAATAGAAAACAGAAGTGAAAAGGCCCCCAACCCAAGGCCACCCATCCCTGGGACCCCCAAAGGCATAGGTGCAAGCACTTCCCCCACTCACTGGCTGAGGGGCATGCTGGCTCTTACCCCCCTGGTGTTGGGAGTCGCAGCACTTCACACACTGTGAATGGGTTCCCAATCAGGGCCGTTTGGGAATGGTTCAATTGTTAGGTGTGACTTGTGGAGCTGTGCTGGACTACAGCTGTGCACCTGACTTACCCATCAAGTCCCTTTCTCTGCTGCTCTAAAATAGCTTGAGCCTTTTCACCTAAGAAATGCTGTGGTGCTTTCTCTAGCCTCCAGGGGAGTAAAGGACCAAGTCTTGCATCTCCTGAGCCAGGAGCCTTGCCTTTGCTAATCTAGACCTCTAAGCCTCCCTGGGGGTGTTAACACCCTACAGATATTTGCAGAGTGTTGTTGTGCTATCCCTTGCTGCAGCTGAGCCAAGCTCTACAGATTTAGCCCTTTTAATCTTGCTTCTTACGTCAATCTGGCCGACCCCTCCAGTGATGACTGCTCCCCTGCAATCCCCTCCAGTCTGCCAGTAGGAGAAGGAGATCGAGCAAGTAAACAGGTCACTGATGAACAGCTCTGGAAATCTGTGCTGCTCTCAAGATGATGAGCTGGGCCCAGTTCTAGGGTTGCTCAGAGAGCAATGCACAAACACAAAGCAGCAGGATGAAACAAAAGGAGGACGTGTGTGTGTGTGTGTGTAAAGCACAAAAGACCCTGCCTCTCCCACCACCAAATAGCCCAGTGATTGGGGTGCATGTGCACAGACTGTGCAAGAATGACGTCCAAATCTTTCCCCAGGCAAGTGCCCTCACTTCTAGGGTGTAGGTCGGGGAGGGCAATTATTTCGGGCAGGGGGCCACTTACTGATTTTTGGCAAGCCATCGAGGGCCGCATGACAGGCAGCCAAGGGCAGATAAATATTAATTTTCTAAATTTTTTAGGGGCTCCACTGGCCGGAAAGAATGGCCTGGCAGGCCATATGTGGCCCGCAGGCTGCATTTTGCCCACCCTTGGTGTAGATTGTAGCAGTGTTGGTCTAAGGACATAGGCAGACAAGGTTATTTGGGTAGATGTAATATCTTTTATTAGACCAACTCAAATAGTTGGTAAAACTCTCATCCTGAAATGACTGTGCTGGGTCCAGACAGTCCACCCAGGAGCAGAAGAAGTTCCCAGGGGAAAACTCCATCAAAACACTAAATCTCTGTGAACCAATGTAGTTCAGGTGAAAGAGCATTTAGGGTGGCCGTGAGGGAAGTATCTAAACAGTGGTTTGGGAAGTGTCATTTGTCCTTCCCCACCAGCATCAGTGTTTATACACTTCACCAAGGCATACTGAGGAGACATGCAAGTAGAAACAGAGGACTGAAGTTGCATCAGTTCCTCGCCATTTCATGTGTTTCAGTCACCATCAGTGATCACACATTTGCTTTGGTAAGGCCAAAAGGCACCTTGCAGCTGCTGCTAGAATGTGCTTCAAAGAAATGGGGTCTCTGTGGACCATGAGCCCTGCCTGCCCTGTCATATTAATGTGATCACCTCCCAAATCCTGTAGCCTTCTATGAGCAATACCAAGAAGGGGCTTCTTATTCTGGGAGCAAGGAACAAGATTGAACTCCTCCTCTATTCACTTACTCTACTCTACTTACACTAGTAAATCAGCCCCTCCCAAACGCACCTGCCTTGAGTTCTGCTAATGGCTGTAAAGCCACAATATCTGTAACAACTGTCCTGATGTTAAACTCCCTGCAGCTGATTGTTAGCCCATAGTACCACACAAGTGCTTGCCAAACAGGTTTTACTTCAAAACACAGGCCCAGGGGGGTTGACAGTATCAGCCTTCCTGTAATTCTAAGTGAGCTTGGCTTTGATTTCCTAAATGGGGAGGCAGATAGGATCTGTTTGCATGGGTGTAAAATGTTCTCAGGGATATTTGCACTCACCCCCCATGATGCACCTGAAGGGAGTAGGCAAGTGTAACGAGAGCTAATCTCAGCTTTGGTGAGCAAGGATCAATGCTGGGCACCTCTCTACAGGTAATGAATAACTCTACTCAGCACTCAAATCCCTGGCAAAATCTAGGAGGCCGTTTTGGCATGCTGTATCCAGTGGGGCTTTGGCAGTGTGGAGAACCAAAGCAGAAAGAAAGCAACAAGTCCAGTTGCATTGTCTCCTTGCAATAAATAAAATAACTAAACAGCCCAAGAGCGAATACCAAGTGAGATTTTTAAAAGTTGGATGAATAACAGAGTGGGCATTTCAAAGGGGCACGAGGGAATGATGCCCTGAGTTCGGAGCGCCCGAATCCTTCAGGTTCCTTTGCAATGCCCACCCAAAATGTGCAAACTGAGACTGAACCAAAACCCAAGATCCAAAGAAACGGGAGGCTTGCAGTTCAAAACTCTGGATCTAGATCAGAATTACGCAGACAGGTCTCTGTGCCATGGGAGTGTTATTAGCGTGGGAGGCTAAGGGCATTCACACCCGTGTTGTTTATATAGCTTCCAAAGGCATCCGGGCCTGTTTAAAACATGTCACTGGACCAAAGAGCTTATCTTATCGCCAGTGGACCCGCTGGTTACAAGTCCAGTAGCTTGCTCTGAGTGAGGAGGTAGATTCTTAACTGGTCCTCACAGCAGATGGGACTTGTCCGTGTGCCTCACTATTTTACAGCGATGGTGTCCCTTTAAATATTATTTTCACAAGTTAAGGTTACAAAGCAGCATCTGAGAACAGGAAATGCAGGGAGGTAGGTCTCACCCGACCGCGGAAAACTGAGTTGAGCAAGAAAGACAGCGACGGCTCAGGCCTGAGTTGGGCGGATAACGTGTAACGGCAACATCCCTCCTCTGCGTTCTTACCGAACTAACTCCCCTGAGAGCTTGGGATCCCTTTCGCACAACAAGCCGGTGCCCTGCGCTTCAGACAGGCTGAAACCCTCCCTGAAGCACTACTAGAAGGTAAGACAGATGGGCTGCTCTTTTATTCCTGAGCCTGGCTTAGCCTGGGACCTGCTGCAGACACCTGAGCATCAGGGTTACTGCTGTGCTTCCAGGTGAAGAAACAGCTCCTTTTTGTGCCTTCAGAATCATTTGACTCCTGGATTTGCAGCGGTGCACTTCTAAGCACAAGCAGAAATGCTTTGATGCTGATATTTAAGGGGGTTGCGCAGGTGGCTGCGATCTGCATGAACTGTTGTGAGTAGAAGGCCATGTAGAATCAAGGAGACTCCAGCCTATTCATCTCAGCTGGGTGGGATCCTTCAGCTGGACCCACTGGCTGTGCTCTGTGATGAGAGGAGCCACAAGGCCATCCTGCTCTTGGTACAGGATGCACCAGTAAGATTGGACTGGGGGATGGGCAGGGACCCAGATTTCCTATTATCCCATGTGGTCACCTTATGCTTCTGCCAATGGGTTGATTCAGAGCAGACATACGATGGGGACCCAGGGCTCCTACTCAGGTTATCTTTATTTTGAAGCCCAGTGGAGGCTTCAAATGGTCTGCTCGCTTGCTTCCTGCGTAGGCTGGATCCTTATCAGCACCTCTTTTAACCGTTGCTAACCTTACAGCACACTGTAGTGAACTCTGCTTACTCATCAGCCCTCTCACCCCCACAGACAGTCATGGCTAATCTCTGTAGCTCACATCGAAATGCCATTTGTTTAAATGGAATAGAGAAGAGTTTCATGCCACGTGTGGTGGCAAGAGGGGCCAGTGGTGAGTGTGCTGGCCTGCACTTAAGAGGAGGAGTTTAACCCCCTGCTCTGCAAGAGACTCCCTGTGTGACCTCATACTTATGTATTTTTTGCAGTGAAAAGTTATTGGATGAAAAGCAGGCACAGTATGTTGGGAGTAGGACCAAAACCCAGGACTCTCCCTTCCCAGCTGAGAGCTCTTATCACAGGGCTGCAGAGACAGTTTCTTCTTACAGTCGCCCTCCCTCTGGCCCCCGTGAATCTTGCATTCTCGGCTGCAGAGTGGAGGAGTGGAGGCAGTCCCCAAGCAGGGTAGGCCACAGCTGGTGGCTAGGGTGCTCTCAGGAGTGGGGTAAGGGAAGATGTGGCTTTGAAGCCCCTAAGGGTGAGTAGGGCATTGAACACAGGGCAAATATTCTGGCCAGTGGGCTGTTATAAAACAGGGGTTACTGTATAATAGGAATTAGTGCTTTCCTACTGTATGTCTCATCATCATCTCCTCCTATGTTAAAAGGGCTGCATGTACCCACACAAAAACCCCGGGCATTGAGTCCAGAAGGTGTTTTGTACTATGAACCCCCAGGGGCCTCACCCAAGACTACAGGCAATGCCAAGGGAGAGGCTGGTTTTCAGACAACCCCCTTCTTTCAGCAACTCTTGTTGGCTGGTTTGGGTACCTCCTTGCTCTCCACACTGGTTGTAGTGAATACCACTCCCAGGGTTTCTAACTTTGCCCAATCACTGACCAGGAGTTTTGTTGTCTGGCACAAGTTTGTGAATTTACACCCCCAGCATTGGGATCTTGGCCCCTTTGTTGATCTGGCCCTTCGCGTCTCCGCTTCTCAGTGCCCCAGCTGCAGCATCAGGATAAGAGCCATGCCCTCCTGCACAGGGGTGTGGTGAGGACACACATCAAAGACCCAGTGGTGCTCTGAGCTTGCAGCGAAGGGAGCCGGAGAACCTGGGAGAGACGAGTAGACAGAGCTGGGGTTTACTGTGAAATGCAGGTGTAAGACTGTAGACAGGAGCCTCAAAGGGATTCTCTTCGTGATTTTTACCACCAACGTCTAAGAGTCCCCATCTGGGATGGCTCCAAACTTTGCAGCCTGTTGGGAAGGATTTAAAAAGTGCTATAAATAAAAACCAGAAAAAATTAGCAGCTCTGCTAAAGGGCTTAATAAGAAGCCTGGTTTGCTTTTACGCTGAAGTCTCAACCTGTTTCTCTGATAGCCTACGGCTGGGTCAGGGCTCTGCACCAGACTTGATCCTAGCTGCTGCCAGGAGAACCCCAATTCACTGAAACCTGATGGCTTATAACATATATCCTACCCTAGCCTATCATTTTCTTTTCCGGGAATGAACTTTCAAAACCAAAAGCAGAGACTGTAGCTAATCCCAGGACTCCAGGAACTGAGGCTTTAAGAAAAATGCCAAATATCCCAAGTTGGGTGGTGGAATTGTAAGAGTAGTACAGTGAAACCCACATGGCCTTTGGCTTCAGTTCCCCAAATTTGAGTTTGCTGCTGTCCTAGGGGGCTGAGTTTCCTTCGACAAGGAAAGTCAAAGCCGATCCAGGAGGCTGATCTGCTGCTGCCATTCACAGGATCTTTTTTTAAATTTTGTGTCTGGAGCCAAATCAGTTCCAAATTCTATTGATTGAGCACAGTTCAATCGTTCAAGTCTGTGCAGCGCTACCACCAGCAAGTGTCCTACCTCCCAGACTCTTCAGCCTGAGGCTTCAGATACTCTAAAATCCATGGCAGGCATCCTACGTGCAGGCCCCAAACCCAAAGCTATTGGAGTTCTGATGCCCCCTCATCTCGCTTGCCCTGTGCCAAGGAGCAAGTTAGAGAGAAAGCCCGAGAGCAATCCCCCATCACCATAAATTGTGTAGTCGAGATCCTCCCATTGGGAAGCCTTAGTAGACTCTTGCACAGGTGCCCACCTGCAGTGCAAGGGAGTAGGGACAGGTCTCCACCCTCTAACTACACCAAGTCATTCAAGGCTGAGAAGAAGGGGATCTCCCTTGCCAGGTAAGTAAAGCCACCTGGGATGAAAACCATGATCATGGTATCTCCTTTACCAGATCTCTCTCCCCAGCCCCATCACAGATCGGTCGCTCAGAATGAGTAAGGCATTTTACACTGCAGTGGCACTGTCCCTGTCCTGATGAGTTCAGCCTCAGACACCATATATAAAGGAAGAGCAGAAGTAAGACCATGAACATTCCCAGGACCTGCCTTTCCTGCCCTTAGCATAAGGGATGGGAACAAAAGGGGCTTCAAACTTTTTGTGCTTCTTGTAATCTGCAAAGATGCCAAGTAAGCTAGAGTTACCCCAAGACTACTTTAACCTATGCTCTGCCTCCAAGGATCTTCCTTTGTGAGCCCTGGGAAGAAAAGACTAGCTCTAATGTGCCTGCAACCCACCTCCTGATGGCAGAAACTAGGAGCAAGTCTGGTACAGAGCCCTTACCCCAGCATCCCACTGCTTCCTGTACAGCATGATCTGCTGCCAGAGTGGGTATAAATGCAAACCGGGCCTCTTCAGACCTTTAGTGATTCAAATCCAGGAGGCTGATCTGCTGCCATTCACCTATCTGCTGCCATTCATTCATCTGCCAGGTGCTTTTGCTTGAGGCTTGACTCTTGGTATCTGCAATGCTGCTTTCAATCACTCAAACCCAAGCTCCCCTCCCAGTTCAAACCCTCAGGACACCTGGTTTAACTCCTTTACTTGTGGCTATTAACATCCAGTGTTTTGATGAAAAATGCCAGAGAGAGGCTTTGGTTTGGGCAGAGGGATCAATTCTGGGATGCTTTTCTCTCCCTCTGTGTTGGCTGAGCAGCAGGATGGTGTCAGGGCCAAGCCACTGGACCTGAGGAGTAGGAGGTCCATCTCGAACTCTCTTGGCTCTTATGTGAATTCCCTATGTAGCCACAGGCAGCTTCTTTAGGTATCAGTTTGTCAGCTGCAGGGATGTAGCCATGTGGCCAGCAGGGGCTAGGAATAGTGAAACTGCCTGTACCTCCTCAGTGTGAGAGGTCTGTGACCCAGAGAACTAATCCAGTTAAAAGCCTGTTACTTAGATGCACTGAGGGGAGGAAGGAGAGCATGGTGCCCTCTTATTTCCCTCTTCAAAGGGCTGAACTGTATGTTCAAAGGCTATGGAGCGGAAGAGGACTCCAACCAAAGGCAGGCGGCTGGGCTCCAGCCGACGGAAGCAACTAAGAGAAATGAGTGACCAGGCAAAGGAATCCTCGATCCTAGAGGAGGAGCCAGTGGCGTCCGAAATAATGGAAAAGGTCCAGGATTTCTTCCGGGAATGCGACAAGGACCAGAAAGGATTCCTCACCCGTGCCAACATGCAGGTAAATTGCAGGCTTGAGCATTGTCCTGGGTGAGCTGAATTCTGCCTCCCGGAACCAAGGGCTGGGGCTTGACAAAAGCACTAGGCCTGGAGACAGATCATGGGAATAGAACTTAGGAGACCTGTGATCCTACTCCTCAGTCTACCCCTTGTCTCCTGTGTGACCATGGGAAAGTCACAGCTCGCTGTGCCTCAGTTTCATGCTTTGTAAAATGGGAAAATGCTATTCACTTGCCTTCATCAACCACACTGAGATCTAGGGCTGACAAGTGCTATTTCATGGCTAAGCACAATAACTGTATTGCAAATAGATGAATATGAAGCTAGTCAGTCTCTAAGGTCTGAAGCTCAGAAGAGCTCTGCCCCATTCACCTCCCAGAATCAAGCCCGTGCTCTGCAAATTGCCCAATGAAAAGCCAAACCAAACATGTCATGAGCAAAAGTGGGTGGGCTGGCTTGTGGTTAGCTCATGGGGCTGCCTGTGACTCACCACATGGTTCTGATAAATCACGTTGTTTCCTGCCTCAGTTTTCCCCTCTGTTAAACAGGTCTGAACATGCCTCTCTGCTCCCTAGAGGTGTTTCATAGATTTCTAGGGTCAGAAGGGACCTATTAGATCATCGAGTCTGTGTTAATAGATACCTGGCATGGATGTTTCTAGACAAGGGCAAAATCACAGATCACAGGTTGCTATTAAGTTTTGGATCTGATCCTCCCAAGTCTGCAGAGTAGACGGTTTTCAGCATGGCGAGTTGGGAAAGACTTGGTAGTCCCAGCAGGGTGTTTGGAGGTAGGAGTAGGTGGATAGGAGCTCTGTGCATCTGATTCTCCTTTCAGCAGTGCAAATCAAGAGTGTTGTTTGTATTACACTGCCTGTGTTTGAGTCATTGTAGATCCTGTACAGGGTCTCTCTGCGCCACGACCAGGGAAAGGCTCAATATGGGCAAATTCACCCTGCCACAAAAGTGGGCCACGCTTCTGAGAAGCAGAGTGAGTTAGTTCCATGCTGCTGCAGCTAGACTGACCAGTACACAGTGGCTAGGGTACATCTACAATGCAGGTGCCTGAAGCTTAGACCTACCCCTAAGAGAGACTGACTGCCTACAGTGAACAAGGGGAAATGGGCACAGAGAAGTGATGTGCCCTGTCCAAGGTCCCCTGGAGGCAGAAACAGAAGCAGAACCCAGGTTGCCTGAGTCCCAGTTGCTGCCTCTGTAGAAATGAATGGAGTCGCATCACTTTCATTGTGTGGAAATGGGATCAGGTGCAAGAAATACAACAGATTAGGGCAGAGTTGGGGCTAGTTACCCTTGTTGCTTAAGCAAAGTGCCTCCCTGGTGGGCGAACAGCTCCTTTCCCCTCCCCTCCAGCTACTGCAACGGGTTAGTCACACTCGGACATTTGCATTGTTTTTAGAACCTGAAGATGAGGGATCTCCCATGCAGCGCCGAGGAGCTGGAGTTCATCTTCGATACTCTCGATACGGATAAGAATGGATCTTTAACGACAGAGGAATTCACCACAGGGCTGCGTAGGTGCCATTTCGCTGCCTTCAAGGAGTCAGTGTTGCCACTGTATAAATGAAGTAGTTGTGGTAGACCCCCAGCGAGGAAGGGGGCATCCCAACATTTATAGCGCAATGGAGGCTTGTGCGGTGATTTCAGAGTATGTGCAAAGACATGGCCATCTCTCCTGATCTTTCAGCCCAGAGGAGAGTGTGGATTCATTCACTGTAGCAGGGCAATGCTTTGCTGCATGGTTTGATTAGTGCACTGAGAATATCTGCCACTTCCACTTCTCTTTTTTCAGAAAAACTGGCTTTTCCCTTAGCACGGCCCTCCAACTCTGCCATACGGCCTGCATGGCCCACAGGCTGCCTCATGTGCCTGGGCTGCCGCACAGCCTTTTTCTTGCTCCAGGTGCTTGACATGCTCCAGGTGGCTGGACTACCTGGCATTGTCCACCTGCTGCCCAGATATCTGTAATGCCCAGCCTGGCTTACCCACCCAAGCTCCTGTCTCTCCAAACTGCACCATTTGCAATAATTAACTCCAGTCCAGCTGTGAGTGTGACAGGAAGCCAGGGGCTGTTCCTCAGGCTGGTTCCTCCCTCTCTCACACGGGGAAGGTAGTATGGACAGTCTAGTTTATCAAACATTTTCTTGTCCAGATCCTTCCTAGCACCTAGAATGACATCCTGGATGCTTAGCCCCAGGCTTCTAAACAAGGGACCTGGTCAGGCTCCTGAAGAGAGGTGCTGAGTATCCAGAAAATCAAATAGCTGCATGTGCTCAGAGATCCTAAAAAACACTTTATTTGGGTGTGTATTTGTATTGGAGTCTAACATTGAGCCCCCAACTTAGAAAATCTTGGCCTTGGGCTTTACTGTTCTGTACCACCAGGCCACTGAAGTATCTTTGTTTATGTAATGGCAGGGCAGTTCCTGAGCACACAGACTGCAACCAGAGAGCATCGGAGGAGGAAAACAGCTTCCCGGAGGGTGCACATGATGTCTGCTAACCTGTCTCTGGAAGATGTGGATAGTGAGGAAAGGAAATGCTTCATAGACTTCATGGACCAACTGGGTGCAGAGAACATCTTTGAAGAGTAAAAGCCCATCAGCCACGTTTTCATTTAGTGCATGGTGGTTGGGACCCATGCAAGCCTGGGTTGGGATTGTGAATCTATATGGGACATCCAGGCCAAGATCTATCCCCCATACAGGCCACCAGGAGCAAGACGGTAGGGAGCAAAGGAATAGCCTTAAGACACCTTTGCCCCATGCTTCCTATGCCTGCTCCAAGGGCAGGGGCACAGGAGTTGAGAGTCAAGTCGTGCTCACCTGCAGTCTTATTGGTGGCCCTTCAGTTGCGAGGGACCTTTTTAGTCATCAGGCATGAGTTGCTGTTCCTTGAGATAAAGAATGCCACAGCCCCAGTGCTCACAGCCAAACTCAAGGATCTTTCTTGGTCCACCTCCTGGAGGGTTGGTCGGTTGCGGAGCTAGCCACCTGCCTTGCAAAGAAATCCTCACTGAATGGCAAGCCTCCTTCTAACATGGTGCTCTGAAATGCTTCCATTCCCAGGCTCTAGACTGTCACTAGGGCCCACTAAAAGCTTTTTGATAAAACACTTTCCACTCCAAAACATCTCCTCAGCCACCACCTTTGTTCCATACAAAAAGCCTGACATTTTACTTTTCCCCTTTTTTTCAATTGTACAAGAATTTGCGTTTCCTTTCAGTCAACCTTGGACACATTCAGGACAAACTTTGAATGAGACCAATGATTTTCCTTTTTTTATTTTTTATTTTTAATTAGCAGAAAATAATTTCCCCTTTTTTTTTCTTCAATGAGTCCTAACTCCCCTCCCACATTCCTGGCTCATTGTCCCTCTCTACAAACCCAGAATTACTTGAAAAGCCCTTTCATTCATGTTCCTATAGACTCACTGGCATTCAGACTGCTATGGGGAAGGTCTCAAGCCCTGCAGAGACTCTCTGGAACAACAAGTATTCTCAGAGAGCTTTTTCCCCAGTCTAACCAGTAATGAGACCAGAGGGCAAAGATCCTCCCTGCCACTGCAAACAGATGGAAGTGGGCCACTGGAATCTGCAAGCTGCTCACCTGAACGCATCCATGTCTCTCTCTCCAGCCAGTCGGAGATTTGGAAGCTGTGGGTGAAACTGCGTCAGGATGAGCCGCACTTGCTGGGCAACTTGGAGGAGTTCCTGGCCAAGATGACAAATTGGATCAAGGAAGCAAGGAGTGAAAAGGCAACCCTGGAGCTGACCTTAACCAAGTGAGTCACACTGCAGGATTGGGCTGGGGATCTCACAGACCTAGCCCTACCAAAGGGAGATGAGTGAAAAATAGGAATGATGGAGAAGGACCTAAGGGAGGGTTTCATCATTTCCATCTGTGGGGCAATGGGTGGCTTAGGAGGTTGCTTAACAGCTGGAAGCATTTGATGTCCATGTTACATGATCTGATCCAACCCAGTTCAGACCAAATGTCACCGAGGTCTCTGTTGGCCCAGAGGAATTGTGAGGAGGGGTCCACATCACAAAACCACCACTGCAGAAGGGTGGTCACAGCAGTGAGACATGGGGCTCAGAGCCTAAGCCAACCTCCACTGACTGGAGGGACTCCAGATGAGTTAGATGTGTGCCAGATCAGGCCCAGTATCATCAGCCCAGCACCGCCCTTGCTTCTGTGAGTGGCCTGGGCAGGTCAAGTCATATGAGTAGGGCAGTGCGGAGCAGAAACTTGTCTAGCTGCTGCCTGCTCTGTTGGGGGAGAAGCCTCTCCAGGGCTATCCATCAGTCCCCTTTCCCCAGCATTATCTGTGGTCAAAGAGCTCAGTCTGGTGCGATTAGACCCATGCTCAAGCGCCCCTCCTTTTGCTGTGCCAGACAAGTCACTGAACGCAACAGGGAGGTGCAGCATCTGTACGAAGAAATGGAGCAGCAAATCCACCAGGAGAAGCAGCGGCTGCAACATGAGGTGGGTTCAAGCCCCATGCATATCTGATCACCTCCAACTCCCATGTGTAGCAGGGTGCTCAGGCGAGGGGAGAGAGGCGGTTATCCTTTCCCAGGCAGGAGGGCTTCATCTGGACCCAGAACTTGCTGCCTCTCTGACCTCTGGGAGGTGGGCTGGGAAGAACCTGAGAGAGCCACGGAGGAGCTGGGCCTGCAGGGTGGGACATGGGGAGCTTGGCAGCTTTGCTTCTGCCTGGTGTTCAGCCAGAGGCAGGGAGCAAGCACACAGAAGTACAGGAGCCACCCAGGTGCAAATGCGCAACAGGAAGTCACTAGCTCTGCAGCTGTTTCTCTCTGGACCCCACATTTCCTGGTCATTCACAGTGATGGCCTGGGGCTCACAAACATATGTCCATTTTGCTCCTAGCAGCAAGGATGGGATTCTTCCCCTCTCAGCTTTGTTGTTCCATATCCACCTCCATATCCTGCCTGCTCTGTTAGGGCTTCCCCAGGGTTCGTATTACACGCAGGCTCTTGGGGGTCTGTGGCAGTGGCAGCGGGGAGCTGGAAGGAGCCGCTGCTGCTGCCTGAGCTGGTTAGAAAGGCACAGGGTGGGCTGGGGGCTTCTCATCGTAGCAGAGTCACTGGCACGGCTGTTTGAGTGCTTGGGTCAGGTCCCAGAGGACTGGAAAAGGGCCAAAGTGGTCCCTATTTTCAAGAAGGGGAGGAAGGAGGATCTGAGTAATTATAGGCCAGTCAGTCTCACCTCCATCCTTGGAAAAGTCTTTGAAAAGATTATTAAGGATCATATTTGTGTGAGTCCACCGGGAAAAAAAATAATTCAGCAGAGCCACCAGCATGGATTCGTAGCAGGTAAATCATGACTGACTAATCTGGTTTCATTTTATGACCAGGTCACAAAACGCTTAGATGCAGGAATAGACGTGGATGTCGTTTACTTGGATTTTAGGAAGGCCTTCGATATGGTATCTCATCCCATTCTCATAAATAAATTAAGAGGCTGTGACTTAGATGATTACACAGTCCGGTGGGTGGCAAATTGGCTTGGGGGTCGTGCCCAGAGAGTGGTAGTAGACAGGTTGGTATAGACCTGGAAGGATGGGGTTAGTGGGGTCCCACAGGGCTCAGTCCTTGGACCTGTACTCTTCAATGTCTTCATCAGTGACTTGGATGTGGGTGTGAAGTGCACTTTGTCCAAGTTTGCGGATGATACGAAATTGTGGGGGGGAGTGCACACTCCAGAGGGTAGGGAACGATTGCAGGCAGACCTGGACAGGTTGGAAAAGTGGGCAGAACACAATAGGACGCAATACAACAAGGACAAATGCAGAGTGCTGCACCTAGGGCATAAAAATATCCAGCACACCTACTAGCTGGGAAGTGATGCTCTCAGCAGCACAGAAGCAGAAAGGGATCTTGGGGTCATAGTGGACTCCAAGATGAACACTAGTCGTCAGTGTGACGAAATCATCAGCAAAGCTAACCGCACTCTATCGTGCATCAGCAGATGCATGACAAATAGATCCAAGGAGGTGATATTTCCCCTCTATGCAGCATTGGTCAGACCACAGTTGGAGTACAGTCAGTCCTCGGACTTAAGACACAATTGGTTCCTGAAAACCTTGTCTTAAGTCAAAACATTGTAATTCGGAACCAATTTTCTCATAAGAAACAATGTTATAATGGGGGATTGGTTCCTAAACCAAGGCCCAATACCTTATTTTCACCAACAATACCCCAGAATTTTGTACTTGATCAATTATAGATGAGTAATATAGCTACATTAATGTATTTATATTGTAAATAGCAGTCACATTGATTTGGAAGGACTTCTTTGAGGTATCTTTGCTGGACTTTTTGAAAGGCTCTTGGTTGGACTTTTTGAAGGGTTCTTGCTGGAGTCTTCTTGGGAGTCTTGATTGCAGGTTTTTCTGGACTCTTGTCTGTTTTCTTAAAGAAAGCGTCCAAGGAAGTTTGGACAGATGTTCTCCAGGGAGATGAGCAACGCAGCGAACTTGTTTGCTGGCATGGCGTCACATTGGATCAAGCATTGTAAAGTCAAAACTGACATCATAAAGTTGAAAACAGGGTGTCGGTTTATAAACATTGCAAGTGAGAAACGTTGTAACTCGAAACGCTGTAAGTTGAGCACTGCCTGTACTGTGTCCAGTTTTGGGTGCCATACTTTAAGAAGGACATGGATAACCTGGAGAGGGTCCAGAAGAGGGCCACTTGTATGGTTAAGGCTTTGCAGGCCAAGACCTATGAGGAGAGACTGAGGGACCTGGACCTCTTCAGCCTCCGCAAGAGAAGGCTGAGAGGTGATCTTGTGGCCGCCTACAAATTCATTAGGGGGTGCAGCAAAGGATCGAAGATGCTCTGTTCATCAGGGCGCCTCTTGGGGTAACAAGGAACAATGGTCACAAACTGACAGAGAGCAGATTTAGGTTAGACATCAAGAAAAACTTCTTCACGGTAAGGGTGGCCAGAATTTGGAATGGGCTTCCAAGGGAGCTGGTTCTCTCCCGTATCTTGGAGGGGTCTTTAAGAGAGCTGGATAGGCATCTGGCTGGGGTCATCTGACCCCAGCAATCTTTCCTGCCCATGCACAGGGTCAGACTCGATCTGTTGAGGTCCCTTCTGACCCTAGCATCTATGAATCTCTCTCTTATGGGGGGGAGGCTCAACCCTCTCCAAGCCCCCCCTGTATTTTGAACCCTGGGCTTCCCCGGCTACTTGCCACACAACCCCCTTTAAGTTCTGAATGCATTCCCTGATGTATCATCTTCCCCTCTCATCCAAGTCCCAGAAATGCTTCTTCACCCACCCAGCTGGTATAAAAAACCACCTTTGAATCTTGATCCATGTAGGGCTTGGATAAGGGACCAATTAAATAATCCTGGCAGAACCATCCACACTCCATGTTCCAGGTCTGACCTCTAAATCTAGGATGCCCTTGCCTTTGCTTTGCTGTCTTTCCTACCATATGTTTTCTCCCTCGTTCCCTTCCTTTTTCACTTAGGTTTACAGACTTTTTTGGAAAAATATATTCCTATATGCATATAGTTATATATACAATATCCCACAAAAGCATTCCTACACACACCTTAAAAATGCATACCTGTTCCCCCTTCTGTCTACCCCAGTAGTTGTGCCTGAATTCATAGCGGAGGGAAAGCTATTTATAAAGTGAATTTGTCAGATTATGGTCATTAGTTAAGGAAAACATGCACATTTTGCTGTCACAGTGGGTAAGCAAGTTCAACATAGAGTTAAAGGAAGTGATGGGATTCATTTTTTTTGGTTACTTGTGTGCATGCACACACCTACCCTTGACTATATATGTAATTTTTGTCAACGTTTCTCTGTCACCTGGGTTCTGGGAAGTGGGAAGAAAGTTTGGGATTTCTAGACTGGGCTGATTTCTTCTTGGGGAAGAATTGAGAACATGCAGGCTCAGGCCAGGCCTCCTTGGTCTGCTTGATACACAGGATACCCATGGATTTCATTCACCCAGGCCAGAGATGGCACACACAAGGCCAAAGCTTCCTCAGCTGATTATATCCCAGTAGTGCCCATTGTGGACACTTGTGATTAGAGTCCACTGTACAAGGCACTGTATGAACTCATAATAAACAGTTACAGGAAAGCAGGGCTGGAAAGGACCTTCCAACATCATCTAGTTCGGGCCTCTGCTCAAGGTAGGAGCATCCCTCACTAAATCAGCCCAGTCAAGTGTCTGTCTAACCTGTTCTTGAAATCTTCCAAGGATGGACACTCCACAATTTCTCTAGGTAGCCTGTTCCTATATATCAATAAACGCACACATACAATTAAAATGATATGACAATAAACAAACAAAGCAAATGATACTTAAATAAACAAATGACAGAAAATTTCAGAACAATAATTTGATTTTACCCTGCATTTTAAACCTAATAATGCAGCTCCTACTCAGTGTAGGAGATTAGAAAGCAATTTCTGCCTCTGTCCTTCCTGCCAGGGCTCCCTACAACTTCTCCCGTCATCCTGTTTCACTCACCCGGCTGGCTGAGGGCCTAAAATCATTCCCTATGCTCAAAAAAAACTAAAGGCAAACACTTGATCTCATGGCAAGACTTACATATGCTTTCTTATCTGGCCATTTACATACAATATCCATTGCATTCTTAAGGAGCTTATACTATGCATATAACTTCCTGCCCCCAGGGGTGTAATTGTTCACCAGTGACTGAGAAATCTTTCCTGCTCCAATTATGACCAGGAGAACATTTGCAGCCTTTCAGACATAAGGATGACTAATCCAATATCCTGAAGATACTGTCTCTCACTTAATTTCTCCACTGTGAGAAATGTCGTTACCTGAATAGCCTGTTCTCAAGTGTTATTGTTACAGGTCTGTATTCAAATATAAATTCAATGCTGTTTGGAAGGGCCTGGCTCAAGTGCCACATACCATGTCCACAAGGTCTATTTAACTGGCCATTAAACATACCCATGTCAGATGCTTATTCTTATCAATGACTTCTCTCAAGTGTGAATAGGTCAGGAACACTTAAGTGAAACACTGCCCAACTAAATAATCTTGGCCAAAATACGAAACAAAAAAATTACATTCATATCAAATACCACAATTCATACCAACATAATAATGATAATGGTAAATACCTTGAGGCTACCTATACATAGAGACTACACATGCTGTATCAATAAAACCAACTCAAGAAAACACACGTGATATTCGACAAACCTCTCAAAATATTGCAAGTTCGTGATGACGTGCTTCTGGTCCAGAAAGCTTTCAAGCTACCCATACTAGCAAGAAAAAGGAAGTGATATTATCTCCTTCTCACCAGTGCCCAAAGAGGTTAAGTGACTTGCACAAGATCACATAGGGAATCAGTGGCAGGGCCAGGACTCAATCCCAGGGGTCTAGCAGTCCAATCAAGTTCTTTGTGTGCAGGACCATCCCTTCTCTTCTCTTTCATGAAGCCAATTTGTTTTCAGGGCCCCAGCTCAAACCGGTTTTTTCTCAGTCCTTTGCACCAGCAGGTGTGATGTAGCTGTCTTTGGATTAGGGCTGGCATGCCAGTCAATTGACCAATCAAATATTGTTAATTGACCAGTCAATTGAGTGCATGTTTTTTGACTGGTCAAAGATTATAGGAATTTTATTTTAAAAAACTATATTTTTATAGTTTTCTTGACAGAAATATTATTTTTATTGTTTTTTGACACATTTCTTAATGGAAAATTGTTCTTTTTCTGTTGTTATTTGAACCTATTGGCAATTTTTTACAATTTTTGACTGATATTTCACTGGTCAATTGACTGAACTTTATATGACCAGTCAAATATCCAACCGTACTCGGGACATACTCATTTCCTATTGCTGCTGGGTGTTTTGACCTCTGCCCTTAGACACACATGTGAGTTATGAGTCATTCATAGTGCTAAAGGTGTCACTCAGAGTTGCTCCTCGGCGTGTGCTTGGACGTCCAGTTGGAGCCATTCTGTCTGGGCCTCCAGGCTGGAAGGAGCCAAGGTCTGTAGTTTGCCTTTTGTTTGGTCAATGGAAGCTGTGTTACATTCCAGCTGAAATCATGGGTCAGACTGCGAACATTTGCCCTCAGCTTTAGCTACTCAGCCCTGAGTGCAGTGCAGTGAGGGAAGAATGTGTCACCCTGGGTGGCATCAGGGGACAGACAGCTCATTTAAAGAAGCTGGCATTAACGTCTTCTCTCGAATCCAGAGCAAGGCTAGAAGTCACTTGCAGAGCACGGAGATGCAGAGAGCACTGGCCATCAAGGAGAGGGAAGTGCAGCACCTCGTATTGGCCCAAAAGGAGGTGAGATGGTCTGTGTCCTCCCGACAATGAGCTGTGTGTGGGGAGGACTTGGACCTAGTGGCAGAAATACTCAGGTGTGTGGCTGGGTGAAGCATCCATGGGAGGCTCCTTCAGGCACCAGACTGGGCACTGCTTTGTATCAATGCCAGCTGAATCACTCCACTGAAAGCATCTCTTATACCATGCCAAAAACCTTACAGCTGGACCCCCCTTGAACTAGCACTGCCAATCAAATCCTATTCCCCATCCTTCTTTTTTTTCACAGGTTCTGGTTTCTGGCCGAAACAGAACTGTACTGGAATCTCTTATCCTATTAACCGGTTGCTTGCTGCTTGGATGTCTCAGCTATATACAAATGCAATGAGTTTATTTTGTTGTGCTGATGACGTTGTCCCTATAGCATGTGTTCTGCTTCTGGGTGGATCGGGTACACCCAAGTGCAAAGCACCTGCTGCGATGCTTGATTTAGCTGGCACACCTGGACAAAGACAACTGTTGTACTTTGAAGTGTTGCAGACTTGAGTGGGCGGTAGAAATCTGGTGGGATGGTGAATGCAGCTTGTATTGCCAAATAGCACAGATCTCTGTTGCATACTCATGCGCTTGTTCCACTCATGGAAATTCCACCCCCAGAACCAAGGCTGGGTAGGCTGCAGAGTTATGAAGAGCCAATTGCTGATGGAGCTGATTCTAGTTTCTCTCTCCTCCTTATACTCAGCTTTTTGCACATCTTTTCACAGCATCTGATGAAGTGAGCTCCAACTCACAAAAACTTGTGCTTTATATATCTTTACCTTGGTTAGTCTATCAGGTGAAAATCTATCCTGCCTTCTACAAAAACAACTCTTCCATTGCACTGGCAAGATCCTACTGAGGAGAGTAAAATGCTAGGTTGCCTGGATATTTCAAAGTAGTGATTCAAAGTCAGGCCATCAGTCAGCCCCGCTAATCCTAGCCAAGCAGGGAACTGTCCCCTGGGAGCAGGTGGAAGATGGGGCTACTCCTTTGTGTCGTTAGCTTGGGATCCAGGCTTCAAGCCCTGTGTGAAGCAAAAGGCAGTGCATTTTCTGCAGAGGGCACAAATGCATTGGAGCTGGCCTACAGGGAAGCTTGGCCCCAGGCCCAGGATCCGATTAGCTCATTATTCATGGGTTTGTGTGTGTTGCTGGTGAGTCTAACAGCCTCCACACTGGCTCCTCTCTGGGTCTTTGAATTCACAACCTCTTTCCCCCTCACAGCTTGAGACTGAATTTTATAGCCTCCAGACCAACCAGCAGGCTGCCAGCTCTGAAAACCAGCAGCTAAAACAAACCAACCAGGACCTGGAGACCCAGCTGCACCAAATCCACCAGCAGCTCCAAGAGACCCACGAGCACCTGGGTGCTATGAAAAGCAGGGTATCCCAGCTGCACAGTGAAGAAATGAGGCAAGTACTCCTCAGGTAGTCACTATGGGACACCACAGGCTGGAGAAAAGCCTTTGGGCTGTCTAAAGGTCAGCCTTTCTCCCAGAGAGGAACCCCCAGATCACGGGTGAGGCAGGAGCCAGTATCTGTGCTGGAGGGAAGCTTGCCCTACTGCTCCCCCGGCCATCCCTGCTCCATGGACAGAGTTCTGCCACCTGTCACCAGTCTGAATGCACATGGTACTTTCTGCACATCCTTTTTCCACTCTTCAAATAACCCCTCTCTTCTCTACCTCAATCTCACCAGCTGTCCCATGACGGGATCCCTCACTGTGCTCAGCAAGGATAGCAGCATCCTGCAGCTGAGGCATCTAGGTGAAGGCACGACATGTATGGCATCATACACAGCAGTTGTAACATCACTGTTGCCTCTTTCTGTTTGCAGGGACAGACCACTGGCTGACATGTACTTTGAGACTCCTTTGCCTTCCCAGGTATTTTGTCTGAGTGGGGACAGGTCATGGTGATGGGATTGCTTCTGTTCTCATAGCTCTGGGGAGCCTTTCACATTGCCTTTGCCTTCCCTTGCAATATAACTGGCTTCCTGCCCTGTGGCACCATCCCTTCAGAGAGGAGTTGCCTAACTTCACTGAACCTAGAACCTCCAAAAGACAATGAGTGCAGCTCTAGCAATGCCCTCTGGGGGATGCTAGTGCTGGAATCTTATCGCATCTAAATCTTTCTGTGTTTCTAAGGCACCTTTTGCTGTCACATACTAGGCTGGATTCACCAGCATCTGACCCAGCGTATGTTAGAGTAGCCCTAAGGTTGCTCTCATTTATGCCTCTCACAATGACGCTTTTGAGCTACTTCTGGGGACCAGGCATGGTAGAGCTGCTGCAGAGAAGATGTAGAGGGTCACTGGGACTGTTCCCCTTTAGTTTGTCCTGGAGCCTTGTTGTACCAGACTTCTTGTGGTGAGCAGAGCTCATGGTTTCTACACAGGCTCAATACTTCTGGGTGCCCCAATGCAGCGTAGATGGAATATCATCAGACTTAAGAGTTTCTTGAGGATATCAGTAGAGCTGCTTGTAACTAAAGAATAGGAACCATCTGGAGCCAGCTTTTCAGCTAGAATAACTTAGTGGAGCTCTTTTGACTTCAATGGAGCAATTCCCTTTGACCCCAGCTGCAGATCTGCCCCATTTTTCCTTGCTCATTTAGGCTGGGAGACCAACTCAAATTTGGGCAGCCCCCTTACAAAAGAAGTGCGTCAGATTTTAATCAGCCCACAGGGCACAATATCCAGCCAGCCACACAGTTCCCACGGCCTGCCATGTGCTTCATTGCAACAAATGTTAGTATGCCGGACACCAGGCGTCGTGCTGGACAATGTGAAGAATGGGTGCAGCCTTCACAGGGTGTGAGGATGATCTCATGGCTCTAAGCCCCCCACACTACAAGCTGTGAGATACGGGCCCAGGTCACTGACCTGAGTCACTTCCCTTCTCTGCCTTTCAACTTCCAGATCAGTAAAATATGGATGACAATCCTAATCCATTTGCAAAGCACTCTGAAGCCCAGGGGGTGGAAACATGTTGATATAAGTCCCACTGAAAAGGAAACTGAAATTGAAAAGAACTGTCTTCCAGGAATGGGGATAAGGGACTTTACTGTTCTGAGAAAAGGAAGTTGGCATCATATGGGCAGAGGTATCTTGTATTTCTTTGGAAAGTCCGTTATTGATCCCTCTTCTCCTCTTCCTTTTCAGGAAATGCTGAATAAGGAGATGCCCCACTCTGAAATGCAAATCAAGTTTGGATCCCAGCTCAGGCATCAGGAACCAGAGGGCACCCCTCAGCTGTAAGTGCCAGGAACATGACCAGCTGGTTTGTCTAGGGCAAGATCAAAGAAGTGACAACTCCTTGCCCTCCTGTTAGCACCTTGCTCTGTCTCTGAGGCCGTTACACTGCTGGTTCTCTGCTCCTATGCTCTGCTGAAACCCCAGTGGGATGCTGTAATGCGATTAGCACCTGGTGGGAGGCATAGCTCATATTCGGCGCATCGTGGGAAGGGCAGCTTGACTGAATAGCCCTGCTACTTGGAGCAGCTCCGTAGGGGCATTTTGCTCAATGGATGTCTATTAGTGTGTTTGTAATTTCAGCATTACCTTGTCTAGCCTGTGGGCTAAGCGAGCAGTCATCTCTTCTACTTGCTATTAGGCAATGGCATTACTTCTTCAGCCCAAGCAGTAGAACATTGTTTTACTGCTCCGCTGGCCACTGCTGGCCGTCCAGTTCTAGTTGCTGCCCCTTTCCTACAAGCAATCTCTTCCTCGCTTTTTCTTCCTTTTACAAAGAGCAAGACTTCTTGTGGGTGGTGTCTTTTATTGAACTAACAGCATGGTTGGTATTGGTATAGCTATAGTCAAGCTTTCAGGTATTGTCCACTCTTCCTTAGGCCTCCTGAAATAATTAGATCAGTTATTTCAGCTTGATGGCCTGGATCATCCGCTATCACTGCTTTATATTTGGATCAAACTTTCCTCTTGTTTTACTGATTCACTAATTGGAGGTGTTTTGGGTGCTTTTTAGTCCCACCCCATGTGCAAAGGGTTAAACAACAGCCCCTTGAAACAGGTGCTGTCTGTGTTATGTTACCACACCAGCACTGTGGCGAGGCTGTCACACCACTAGCACAGCTCAAGGGTGTGGAGGCAGTGGAGCATGTTTGCACACATTGTTCCTGTGCACATCGCATGCCATCATCTATGCTTCTTTGCAGGGCACCACAGAAAGGGCCAAAAGAAGAAAACATTTCCATTGCTGCTGGGAGTGATTCAGGCCCCTGGAAAAGAGTGATCTCCATAGAAGAGGATCCTGTCTTGGACTTCATGGAGGGACAGCAGTGTTTCCCACAAGAGCTTACAGGCCAAAGCTCTCTGCTGCGAGAACTGAATGATGCAATAGCAGCTCTGAAACGAGGGCCAGAAATACGGAGAGACGAGCTCCTCCCACAAAGAGATGGTTCTTTACAGCTGAGCAGACAAGGTGGGGATTCTGGGCAAGGAACTGAGCAGGTAAAAGAGGCAGAACAGGAGGCACAGTGGAGAAATGACGCAGAAGCCAAGGTCTTGGAGGGGGCACTGGCAGTACTCGCCAATCAGGCCACCTTACGAGGAGAGCCTTGGACTGAGGGACCATCCCAAGCAGAACTTCATGCTCAGGAAGCAGAGCAGGCTGGTGCTTCTCAGCCAGCAGGGCCGGATCCAATTCACCCATTGGCAGTAACACAGGGAGTGAGCACCAAGGCAGATGTGCAGCTCCTGGGTGAGGCGGAGACACTAGAAATAATGAAGGGGGAGAGAGAGGATGCAGCTCTGCAGCCTCCTGCTGGGGCACAGGTCCTAGAAGAAACCCAAGGGGAGCATGCTGTCACAGATGTGCAACACCTGGATGCGGGTGAGACAGTAGAAGACAGGCAAGGAGACAGGGTTGGTACAAGGGTGAAATATCTGGATGAGGACCAATGGTTGGCAGTACCACAGGGAGAGGGTCTTAATGCAACAATGGAGACCCTGACTGAGGCTCAGCTATTAGAAGTAGTGCAAGGGCAAAGTGCAGATGCAGAAGTGCAGCCCCTTGCAGAGGCTCTGGCAGTAGGAACAGGGCACAGCAACAGTATGGAGGGGCAGGGTTTAAGAGCGGTCCAGGAAGAGAATGCAAGTGCAGATGTGCAGCCCCTGGATAAGGCTGAGGAGCTTGAAGGACTATGGGGAGAAAATGGAGCAGGCAGGGAGTGTGTGGGTGAGGTTGCAACAGTAGAACGTATGCAGGGAGAGAGAGATGCAGATGTGCAACAACTGGATGAGGAGGAGGCAAGAGAAGCACTGCAGGGAGGGAGAGAGGATGCAGAGATCCCACTCCCGGATGGGGTTGAGACACTAGAAATAAGGAAAGGGGAGAGAGAGGATGTAGATGTGCCACACGGGGATGAGGCAGAGGCTGTAGAATCAATGGAAGGAGAGAGTGCTGATGTAGACGAGGAGCACCTGGATGAGGTTCTGACACTAGGCATGACAAAGGGAGAGAGAGATAACGTGGATAGGAAGCATCTGGATAAGGCTCAGGTACCAAGAGTATCGCAAGGAGATCTTGTTATGGCAGAACTGTGGTCCCAGGATGAGGCTGTGGTACTAGGAGCAATGCAGGGAGAGATCACTGGTGCCGAGGTGTGGTCCCTGAATAAGGCTGAAACACTGGAAGTGATGAAGGGTGAGGTAGCTGATGAGGGGAGGCAGCAATGGGTAGAGTCTCAAGAACTTGAAACCGCTCATGGCAAGGGTGCTGATACGGATGTGCAGCACCTGGAGGCAGTGCAAATGTTAGAAGTAACAAAGGCAGGGAGTGCTGAGGTAGATATGGAACATCTGAATGAGGCCCAGTTAGTGGCAGTAGCACAGGGACAGGGTGTTGATACAGATGGACAAAACATGGATATGGCAGAGACAGTAGAAATGCCAAAAGGAAAAAGTACCGATTCAGATCTGCCATGTTTGGACAAGGCCCAAATGTTAGACATACAAGAGGGAGAGGAAACTGATGCAGGTATGGAACATCTGGATGAGGCCTGGTCATTGACAGTACCACAGGGAGAGGGCATTAGTACAGCTGTGCAGATCCTGAGTGAGACTCAGCTATTACAAGTTACACAGGAGGAAAGTGCAGACACAGAAAGAGATGTGCAGTCCCTGGAGGAGGGGCAGGCATTAAGAGGAGCCCAGGAGGAGAGAGTAGCAGCAGATATACTGCCCTACAATGAGAATCAGGAACAAGAAGAAACAAGGGGTGCAGACCCAGAGCATCTGGGTAAAGTTGTGATGGTAGAAGTAACAACAGGAGGGAGAGAGCTTCCAGTTATGCAACACCTTGAAGAGGCTAAAAAGCTTGGTGTGATTCCCAGAGAGAGAGAAGATGCATGTATGCAGATCCTTGATGAGGCTCAGGTCCTACAAGGAACCCAGGGGGAGCATGTTGACAAAGGTGAGTCACTAACAATAATGACAGGAGAAAGAGAGGATGTAGATGTGCCACACTTGGCTGAGACAAAAGTAATAGGATCAATGCAGGGAAGGAGAGCTGATATAGACACAGAGCACCTGAATGACTTTCTGACACTAGGCATGACAAAGGGAGAGACAGACGATAAATATGTGCAGCACTTGGTTAAGACTCAGGTACCAGAAGAATTGCAGGGACATCATGTCACGGCAGAACTGTGGCCCCAGGATGAGGCTCTGGTACTAGGAGAAATGCAGGGGGAGGCAACTAGCACAGAGGTGTGGTCCCTGGATAAGGCTGAGACACTGGAAGTGATGAAGGGTGAGGGAGCTGATATGGGGAGGCAGCACCTGGTGGAGCCTCAAGAACTTGAAACCACACATGGCAAGGGTGCTGATACAGATGTGCAGCACCTGGAGGCAGTGCAACTGTTAGAAGCAACACAGGCAGGAAGTCCTAAGGTAGATATGGAATATTTGGATGAGGCCCAGCTAGTGACAGGAGCACAGGGGGAGGGTTTTGATACAGATGGACAACACCTAGATAGGGCTGAGACAATAGAAATACCAAAGGGAGAAACTGCTGATGCAGATCTGCCACACTTAGGTAAGGCCCAAATATTAGAAGTAGAAAAGGAGATTGTGGCAGATATGGAACATCTGGACGAGGCCTGGTCACTGAGAGTACCCCTGGCAGAGGGCATTAGTATGGCTGAGCAGACCCTGACTGAGGCTCAGCTGTTAAAAGTTACACAGGGGGAAATTGCAGACACAGAAAGAGATCTGCAGTCCCTGGAGGAGGTGCAGGCATTAAGAGCAGCCCTGGAGGAGAGTGTGGGGGCAGATATTCTGCTCTGCAGTGAGGATCAGGAAGAAGAAGGAACAGAGGGTGAAAAGGGCAGTGCAGACAGGGAGCTTCTGAGTGAGGTTGTGATGGTAGACCTAACAGTAGAGAGAGAGGATGCATCTGTGCAAAATTTGGAAGAAGCTAAAAAGTCTGATGAGATTCCTAGAGAGAGAGACGATGCAGTTATGCAGGCCCTGCATGAGGCTCAGATCCTAGAAGGAACACAGGGGGAGTATGTTGAGACAGATGTGCAACACCTGGATGAGGCACAGGCAGTAGAAGCAATGCTAGGAGACAGTGTTGATGCAGCTAAGGAGCTCCTGGATGAGACTGTGGCACTAGATGTGACAAAGAGAGAGAGAGATGATGGAGATGTGCAGCTTCTGGATAAGGCTCATGTACCGAAAGTATCCCAGGGAGATCTTGTTATGGCAGAACTGTGGTCCCAGGATGAGGCTCTGGTACAAGGAGCAATGCAGGGAGAGATCACTGATGCAGTGGTGCGGTCCCTGGATAAGGCTGAGACACTGGAAGTGAAAAAGGGTAAGGGAGCGGATATGGGGAGGCAGCACCTGGTGCAGCCTCAATACCCTAAAACCATGCATGGCAAGGGTGCTGATGCAGATGAGCAGCACCTGGAGGCAGTGCAAGTATCAGAAATAGCAGAGGCAGGGAGTCCTGAGGTAGATATGGAACATCTGGATGAGGCCAAGTTAGTGGCAGCAGCACTGGGGGAAGGTGTTGATCCAGATGGACAACACCTGGATAGGGCTGAGACAGTAGATATACTAAAGGGAGAAACTGCTGATACAGATCTGCCATGCTTGGATAAGGCCGAAATGTTAGAAATACAAGTGGAGACTGATGCAGATATGGATCATCTGGATGAAGCCTGGTCATTGAGAGTACCCCTGGCAGACGACATTAGTGCAGCTGTGCAGACCCTGACTGAGGCACAACTATTACGAGTTACACAGGAGGAAATTGCAGATACAGAAAGAGATGTGCAGTCCCTGGAGGAGGCACAGGCATTAAGAGGAGCCCTGGAGGGGAGTGTAGGAGCAGATATTCTGCTCTGTGATGCGGGCCAGGAACAAGAAGAAACACAGGGCAATACTGGGGTTGTAGACAGGGAGTGTCTGGATGAGGTTGTGATGGTAGAAGTAACAACAGGAGAGAGAGAGGATGCAGTTATGCAACAGCTGGGAGAAGCTAAAAACCTTGATGTGGTTCCCAGAGAGACAGAGGATGCAGGGATGCAGGCCCTTGATGAGGCTCAGGTCCTAGAAGGACCACTGGAGGAGCATGTTGAGACAGATGTGCAACACCTGGATGAGGTTGAGTCACTAGAGGTAATGAAAGGAGAGCTAGAGAAAGCAGATGTGCCAAACCTGAATGAGATAGAAGCTGTAGAATCAGGGCAAGGAGAGACAGTTTATGTAGACACGGAGCACCTGGATGAGGTTCTGACACTGGATGTAACAAAGGGAGAGAGAGATGATGCTGATGTGCAGCACCTGATTAAGGCTCAGGTACCAGAAGTATCGCAGGGAGATCTTGTTATGGCAGAACTGAGGCCACGGGATGAGGCTCTGGTACTAGGAGCAATGCAGGGGGAGATCACTGGTGCTGAGGTGTGGTTCCTGGATAAGGCTGAGACACTGGAAGTCATGAAGGGTAAGGGAGCTGATGAGGGGAGGCAGCACCTGGTGGAGCCTCAAGAATTTGAAGCTGTGCATGGCAAACATGCTGATGCAGATGTGGAGCACCTAGAAGCAATGCAAATGTTAGAAGTAACACAGGCAGGGAGAGCTGAGGTAGACATAGAGTATCTAGATGAGGCCCAGTTAGTGGCAGTAGCACAGGGGGATGGTTTTGATAGGGGTGGACAACACCTGGGTATGGCTGAGACAGTAGAAATACCAAAGGGAAAAATTACTGATGCAGATCTGCCATGTTTGAACAAGGCCCATATGTTAGACGTACAAGAGGGAGAGGAGACATATACAGTTATGGAACATCTGAATGAGGCCTGGTCATTGACAGTACCACAGGGAGAGGGCATTAGTACAGCTGTGCAGACCCTGAGTGAGGCTCAGCTATTCCAAGTTACACAGGAGGAAAGTGCAGCCGCAGAAAGAGATGCACAGTCCCTGGAGGAGGGGCAGGCATTAAAAGGAGCCCAGAAGGAGAGAGTAGCAGCAGATATGCTGCCCTACAATGAGAATCAGGAACGAGAAGAAACAAGGGGTGCGGACCCAGAGCATCTGGGTAAAGTTGTGGTGGTAGAAGTAACAACAGGAGAGAGAGAGCATGCAGTTATGCAACACCTTGAAGAGGCTAAAAAGCTTGGTGTGCTTCTCAGAGAGAGAGAGGATGCAGGTGTGCAGATGTTTGATGAGACTCGGGTCCTACAAGGAACCCAGGGGGAGCACGTTGACACAGATGAGTCACTAGAAATAACGATGGGAGAGAGAGAGGATGTAGACGTGCCACACCTGGCTGAGACAGAAGCAGTAGGATCAATGCAGGGAGAGAGAGTTCATACAGACACAGAGCACCTGAATGACTTTCTGACACTAGGCATGACAAAGGGAGAGAGAGACGATGAACATGTGCAGCACCTGGTTAAGGCTAAGGTACCAGAAGAATCGCAGGGAGATCTTGTTACGGCAGAACTGTGGCCCCAGGATGAGGCTCTGGTACTAGAAGCAATGCACGGGGAGACCACTGGCACAAAGGTGTGGTCCCTGGATAAGGCTGAGACACTGGAAATGATGAAGGGTGAGGGAGCTGATGTGGGGAGGCAGCACCTGGTGGAGCCTCAAGACCTTGAAACCGCATATAGCAAGGGTGCTGATGCAGATGTGCAGCACCTGGAGGCAGTGCGAATATCAAAAGTAGCAGAGGCATGGAGTGCTGTGGTAGACATGGAACATCTGGATGAGGCCCAATTAGTGGCAGCAGCACTGGAGGAGGGTCTTGATACAGATGGACAACACCTGGATTGGGCTGAGACAGTAGATACACTAAACGGAGGAACTGCTGATACAGATCTGCCACACTTAGGTAAGGCCCAAATATTAGAAATAGAAAAGGAGACTGATGCCGATATGGAACAACTGGACAACGCCTGGTCATTGACAGTAGAACAGGGAGAGGGCATTAGTGCAGCTATGCAGATCCTGAGTGAGACTGAGCTATTACGAGTTACACAGGAGGAAACTGCAGCCACAGAAAGAGATGTGCGGTCCCTGGAGGAGGCGCAGGCATTAAGAGGAGCCCTGGAGCAGAGTGTGGGAGCAGATATTCTGCTCTGCAGTGAGGATCAGGAAGAAGGAACAGAGGGTGAAATGGGCAGCGCAGATGAGGAGCTTCTGAGTGAGGTTGTGATGGTAGATCTAACAGTAGAGAGAGAGGATGCATCTGTGCAAAAGCTGGAAGAATCTAAAAAGCCTGATGAGATTCCTAGAGAGAGAGAGGGTATGGTTATGCAGGCCCTGCATGAGGCTCAGGTCCTAGAAGGCACACAGGGGGAGCATGTTGAAACAGATGAGTCACTAGAAATAATGATGGGAGAGAGAGAGGATGTAGACGTGCCACACCTGGCTGAGACAGAAGCAGTAGGATCAATGCAGGGAGAGAGAGTTGATACAGACACAGAGCACCTGAATGACTTTCTGACACTAGGCATGACAAAGGGGGAGAGAGATAATGAAAACGTGCAGCACCTGTTTAAGGCTCAGGTACCAGAAGAATCGAAGGGAGGTCTTGTTACAGCAGAACTGTGGCCCCAGGATGAGGCTCTAGTACTAGGAGAAATGCAGGGGGAGACCACTGGCACAGAGGTGTGGTCCCTGGATAAGGCTGAGACACTGGAAGTGATAAAGGGCAAGGGAGCTGATGAGGGGAAGCAGCACCTGGTGGAGCCTCAAGACTTTGAAACTACACATGGCAAGGGTGCTGATGCAGATGTGCAGCACCTGGAGGCAGTGCAACTGTTAAAAGCAACACAGGCAGGAAGTGCTGAGGTAGATATGGAACATCCGGATAAGGCCCAGTTAGTGGCAGTAGCACAGGGAGAGGGTGTTGATACAGATGGACAAAACACGGATGTTGCTCAGACAGTAGAAATGCCAAAAAGAAAAAGTACTGATGCAGATCTGCCATGCTTGGATAAGGTCCTAATGTTAGACCTACGAGAGGGAGAGGAGAATGATGCGGTTATGGAACATCTGGATAAGGCCTGGTCATTGACAGTACCACAGCGAGAGGACATT